GCATCCACACAATCTCTATATATACCAAACATATTTACAAAGCCGACATTCACAACATATATTCAACAAAATTGAATCAAACCCCATGGCATTTACTTCTCCTCCTTCGTATGCAATGGTTCCCAGAACGCTACGTTTTGGCGCACCCTAATCGGGTTATATTATATATTTACGCTTGTACACACGGCAGTCTCAACACCACCGGATGATCCTGTCAAATGTGTGTCGGGAAACATGAACTGTACAGTCACTAACTCATACGGAGCCTTCCCAGACCGGTCCACATGTCGAGCCGCCAACGTGGCATACCCAAAAAACGAAGCCGAGCTTGTATCTGTCGTGGCTGCAGCCACTCAAGCCGGACGGAAAATGCGTGTAACTACTCGATATTCCCATAGCATTACTAAGCTTGTGTGTACCGACGGAACCGACGGTTTGTTCATAAGCACAAAGTTTCTAAACCACACGGTGCAAGCCAATGCAACGGCCATGACCTTGACGGTTGAGAGTGGCACGACGCTTAGGCAGTTAATCGCTGAAGCGGCTAAAATTGGATTAGCGTTGCCTTATGCACCGTATTGGTGGGGACTGACCGTGGGTGGTCTGATGGGAACCGGTGCTCATGGGAGCTCATTGTGGGGTAAAGGAAGTGCAGTCCATGATTATGTGACCGAGATCAGGATGGTTAGTCCTGGTTCGGCCAACGACGGGTTTGCAAAGATTAGAGTTTTAAGCGAGATTACAACTCCTAACGAGTTTAAGGCGGCTAAAGTTTCTCTTGGTGTCCTTGGCGTTATCTCTCAGGTTGGAAAAATTAAATTTTCATTTTCATTTTTTACTACAAAAAGACAATACCATATAGTTCTAAGCCATTTTCTTTACATTTTACAATGTTTTAGATGTTTACGTGCTTTTTTTTGTTTTTTTGTTTTTTTTTGTTTCTAAAGGTAACTAACATATGTACAAGAGATCACTAACATATACTATGAAAAATGATTCGGATTTCGAAGATCAAGCCGTGACTTTTGGAAAGAAACACGAGTTTGCGGATTTCATATGGTTACCAAGCCAAGGCAAAGTGGTGTATCGAAGAGATGACGAGTACCCGTCAACACATCGGGCAATGGTTTGTTCGATTTTTTGCCCTTCCGTTCACAACTCTCTGCGGCGATAGCCATCATAAGATCATCAGGTAATTCTCACCTATCCTTATTTCTAAGGTTTTGCATTAAATTTTAAAAATGAACGTAAAGGTACAATCTTGTTCGTTGATAACAAAGAAAAAATAAAG